TAGGTATTATCCTGATTCAGTTTGGGTATATCATATGGCTCTAGAAATTTGTCAATGCCTTTGATATTTTCTATTTTATTGGAGTACAGATTCTCAAAATAGTTTCTAATTATCTTCTGTAGTTCTCTAAGCAGTTGAACTAAGGTTAAATTTTGCTGATTTGGAAAATATTTACAAACTTTCTTGGAAATCAGGTCTCATGACAACTAAGTTCCATGGTGACCACTCTATACTTGGAGGTCAAAATGTTCCCTTTTGGTCAAACATTATAGCCGTTATCATTGTGGGCACATTGTGTAAGTTCCTTTGGTGATATTCTAATTAGTAATATGTCTAGTGTCTTACAGGCATACAATGAATGTTCTGTTAACTTTAACCAAAGAAGAAAGCTTGGTATAAAATGTGTCATGTTTTCAAAGGTCTCTATTTACTGAGAGACTATCCCTATAGACCCATTTTAGTTTACTTGTCTCATGTGGACATGTAAAACATCATTAGTGGGACTGATGAAAAGATGAAATGCCCCTGTTCTTCTACAGAACTTCTCATTGTCCTTGTGATTTGTTAACTTCTTACATTAACAAAACTTTGCTTTCTCACACCCTCAGACAAAGTCTTTCCCAATCTATGTATCTGTTTTCTTTTTTTTAAATTTTTTTTTAGTTGTAGAGGAATATAATATAATATATTTTATTTATTTAGTTTTATGTGGTGCTGAGGATATAACCCAGTGGGTCATATGTGTGAAGCAAGCACTCTGCCACTGAGCCACAACCCCAGTCTTATGTATCTGTTTTCTGATTGATTTATTTTTATTAACTAAATTGTATGCGCACTGCCATCTTTTACCCAAAAATCTACTTCTATAAAAGTCAGTGATTTGGGAGGCTGAGGCAGGAGGATTGCAAGTTCAAGGCCAGACTTGTCAGCTTAGCAAAATTGACTCAAAATAAAATTTAAAAAAGGGGCTGAGAATGTAGCTCAGTGGTAGAGCACCCCTGTGTTCAAACCCTAGTACCAAAAAAGAAAAAAAAAAAGTAGCTCAGATTTATAAAACAAGGAAACAATATTAAAAGAAAATCAGAATTACACAAACATATTTCTATGAAGACCCCCCAAAACAATGACAAACAAACAACAACAACAACAAAACATTGTCAGAATAGAAGTGCTGATTAACAGGCTACCTGAGAGATCAGGACATTTTTTCTTCATCACCATTTTAGGAATAGGCAGCATCCAAAGCCAAGAATCCAAAAACAAAGGTAGTCTATAATTTGGTGGGTCAAGGAGAAAGGGAAAATTCAGACTGTCTTGTTGGTTAGCTTTCATTATCTTCCCTCTGCTTGGTGATTAAGATCAAACCCAGGGCTTTGTGTACACTAGGCAAGTGTTTTACCACTGAGCTACACCCTCAAGGGGTGGGGGGGGGGCTATGTTGTCTTTAAGGAGGAATTTGGTGGAGTAGAATCTCCTTCAAAGGAATTTTTCAGTGATCCACTAGCTTTTTTGTATTTCTGATTGACCAAAGATTTTAAGAGAAAATAGATAATTTTAAAGTAAGATCTTCTGTTTCTTTTGCAATAGCTTTTTACTCATTTGGATTTTGAGAAAGAATGAGTGGATTCAAGAAAATTACTTTCTTTTTTTAAAAAAATCAAGAAATTAAAGGCATCAAAATAGGAAAAGAAGAACTTAAATTATCACTATTTGCAGATGACATGATTCTATACCTAGCAGACCCAAAAGGGTCTACAAAGAAACTATTAGAGCTAATAAATGAATTCAGCAAAGTGGCAGGATATAAAATCAACACGCATAAATCAAAGGCATTCCTGTATATCAGCGACAAATCCTCTGAAATGGAAATGAGGACAACCACTCCATTCACAATATCTTCAAAAAAAAATAAAATACTTGGGAATCAACCTAACAAAAGAGGTGAAAGACTTATACAATGAAAACTACAGAACCCTAAAGAGAGAAATAGAAGAAGATCTTAGAAGATGGAAAAATATACCCTGTTCATGGATAGGCAGAACTAACATCATCAAAATGGCGATATTACCAAAAGTTCTCTATAGGTTTAATGCAATGCCAATCAAAATCCCAACGGCATTTCTTGTAGAAATAGAGAAAGCAATCATGAAATTCATATGGAAAAACAAAAGACCCAGAATAGCAAAAACAATGCTAAGCAGGAAGTGTGAATCAGGCGGTATAGCGATACCAGACTTCAAACTATACTACAGAGCAATAGTAACAAAAACAGCATGGTACTGGTACCAAAACAGGCGGGTGGACCAATGGTACAGAATAGAGGACACAGAAACCAATCCACAAAACTACAACTACCTTATATTTGATAAAGGGGCTAAAAGCATGCAATGGAGGAAGGATAGCATCTTCAACAAATGGTGCTGGGAAAACTGGAAATCCATATGCAACAAAATGAAACTGAATCCCTTTCTCTCGCCATGCACAAAAGTTAATTCAAAATGGATCAAGGAGCTTGATATCAAATCAGAGACACGCCATCTGATAGAAGAAAAAGTTGGCTACGATCTACAGTCGGTGGGGTCGGGCTCCAAATTCCTCAATAGGACACCCATAGCACAAAAGTTAATAACTAGAATCAACAAATGGGACTTACTCAAACTAAAAAGTTTTTTCTCAGCAAAAGATACAATAAGAGAGGTAAATAGAGAGCCTACATCCTGGGAACAAATCTTTACTCCTCACACTTCAGATAGAGCCCTAATATCCAGAGTATACAAAGAACTCAAAAAATTAGACAATAAGAGAACAAACAACCCAATCAACAAATGGGCCAAGGACCTGAACAGACACTTCTCAGAGGAGGACATACAATCAATCAACAAGTACATGAAAAAATGCTCACCATCTCTAGCAGTCAGAGAAATGCAAATCAAAACCACCCTAAGATACCATCTCACTCCAGTAAGATTGGCAGCCATTATGAAGTCAAACAACAACAAGTGCTGGAGAGGATGTGGGGAAAAGGGTACACTTGTACATTGCTGGTGGGACTGCAAATTGGTGCAGCCAATTTGGAAAGCACTATGGAGATTTCTTGGAAAGCTGGGAATGGAACCACCATTTGACCCAGCTATTCCCCTTCTCGGTCTATTCCCTAAAGACCTAAAAAGAGCATGCTACAGGGACACTGCTGCATCGATGTTCATAGCAGCACAATTCACAATAGCTAGACTGTGGAACCAACCTGGATGCCCTTCAATGGATGAATGGATAAAAAAAATGTGGCATTTATACACAATGGAGTATTACTCTGCATTAAAAAATGACAAAATCATAGAATTTACAGGGAAATGGATGGCATTAGAGCAGATTATGCTAAGTGAAGCTAGCCAATCCCTAAAAAACAAATGCCAAATGTCTTCTTTGATATAAGGAGAGTAACTAAGAACAGAGTAGGGTCGAAGAGCATGAGAAGAAGATTACCATTAAACAGGGATGAGAGGTGGGAGGGAAAGGGAGAGAGAAGGGAATATGCATGGAAATGGAAGGAGACCCTCAGAGTTATACAAAAGTACATACAAGAGGAAGTGAGGGGAAGGGGAAAAATAATATAAGGGGGACAAACGAATGTCAGTAGAGGGGGCAGAGAGAGAAGAGGGGAGGGGAGGGGAGGGGAGGGGAGGGGAGGGGAGGGGGGATAGTAGAGGATAGGAAAGGCAGCAGAATACAACAGACACTAGTATGGCAATATGTAAATCAATGGATGTGTAACTGATGTGATTCTGCAATCTGTATATGGGGTAAAAATGGGAGCTCATAACCCACTTGAATCAAATTGTGAAATATGATATATCAAGAACTATGTAATGTTTTGAACAGCCAACAATAAAAAATTTAAAAAAAAATCAAACTATTTTTAGAATGTCATCTTTTAAAGACAAAGCAATATAGTGTAGAAGATTATTGTATTTATTTGCTAGGATTCCCATAACAAAGTTACACAGAGTGGATGGCTTAAACCACAGAAATTCATTTTCTCACAGTCTGGAGGCTGGAAGTCTGAGCTCAAGGTATAAGCAGAATTGGATTCTTCTGAGGCTTCTCTTTGGCTTGCAGACAGTTGTCTTTTCCATGTTTTTGCATGGTCTTTCCTCTGTATGTATCTGTGTCCCAGTCTTATAAGGATATTAGTCATATTGAATTTCCTCCCAAATGACCTCATTTTAACTTAATCACCTCTTGAGAGACTCTACCATCTGTCACATTGTGAAGTATTGGAAATTACAACTTCAGTATATGAATTTGGGGGAGGAGAAATACAAGTTAGCCGATAATTTATTTGTCAGGGAGGTAGGAGATTATTTAGGAAGGTCCCATGAAGATAAATGAAGAGAATCTAAACTAAGGTATTTATAATAAAAATGGAAATGAGATTTGAGATTTAGAATCCTTAAGGAGCCAGTAATTTGATATTAGACTGAATGTGGAGGAGTCTGAGAGGGAGGGGGCAGTGTCATTCCTGGATTTCTGCTCTAGGAGAAGGAACAGACTTGAGGGAGATCTGAGCAGTGTGATATATCTTTTGAGTACCTAGCACTTTGACAGTCATATGACCCAGGTGGGATCAACTCTGGGGACATCCTACAATGACTACTTTATAACATGGACTATGTCACATCCACTGTGCATGCAGGTTTCTCATCTTTGAACCTGCCCTTGAATATATCTTATGATAGTTATCACTCTCTTATTATTATAATTGATTTCAAACTCCTGTATTTTCCCTGATAAATTGCTTTAGGGTAAGGCCTACTGTTTTTATTGTTTTTTTGCCCAATTCTTCAGTATCCGATAACTGGCTTCACACATCTAGTACATAGTAGAAATAGGTTGTGCTTAGCAAATTCTAGTTACAGGAATAGTGTGTCAGGAGGATTGTTATATTCTTTGCATATTTTAATCAAGGCTCAATATTGAATACCTGTTTGGCTTTCTTGCAGACTGAGAAGACTTTGGGACATTCCATGAGTCATTCAAGCAACATTTCTAAGGTAGAGTACTACAGAAATATATTACTAGTGCCTTGGGACTTTTATATTCTTATACCTTACATGTGTTTATACTCTTGTCTTTTGAAGACATCAAGTTCTTGATACATTTCTGTAATTTGCTTTGGGACTATACTAGGTATGTGGCAGTTATGTTTTTCTAGTCCACATACCTCACAGAAACCACTATGTTCCTGAAGGTATACCAGACCCCTACAGACCCCAGAGACCCCACCTACCCACCCCATGCAGTCAGACGGTTGACAGGCACGCCCTGCAGAGCGTACTCCTCCATGCATCTCTGTCATGTCCACTCAGGTCTCTCACATACACTGCCTAGCACCAAGCACTGTGCCCACTCTACACCCCATGCCAAAGTGATTAGATATACCCAAGGCTGCAAGTGGAGCTCCCACCCCTCATTCCATGGGGAACTGTTCTATGCATCCTCCCTAGGACTCTTGCCCATCAACTCTAGTAGAGGGACCACCATTGAGCCAACAATGGATTCCAAGCTGGCCCCTAGCCCACCTTCCAAATGTGTCAGACAGGAAGCCCCTTGTGAATGGCCTCCTCCGCTGTCCTGGCTCTCTCTCTGTTTTCTCAGGCCCTTTCCCCTTTCTGGGGTGGGCTGGCAGAGGCTTTGGCTAGTATGTGTGGAATCATCAATAATCTTTAGTGTTATTTTGGGGGAAGTGACTTGCAAGGGAAACACAGTTTCTTCCAGGAAATCATATTTTTAGGCAGAATAAATCTTAGTCAACAGAGGATTTGTCATCTCAATTAGGAATGCATTGGACTGAAAGTAACACAAAGCTAACTATGGCGACATAAATATAGCTTTATCTGGTTCAGATGATGAGGTGCTTGGAGGTAGGTGGCTCAGGGCTAAGTTGTTCATAGACATTGCCAGGTATTATGGTTTGGGTCTGGAATGTCCCCCAAAGGCTTATATGCTTAAAGATTTAGTCCCTAATAGAGCAGTGTACAGAGGTGAGGCTTTTGACAAATGACTGTATCATGAGGACTCTAACCTCATCAATGGATTAATCTATTTGGTGGATTAATAATTTGAATGAACTATTGGGAGGTGTTGGACAGTGATGAAAAGATGAATAGTCACCTGAGCTCTCTTTTCAGTGTTCCTTTGTACACTTGTCATTCTCCTGCTTTGCACATGGTCTCACAATGAATGAGAGCTGAGTCTTCAGCACTTTGGCCTTGGCAGGAATAAGAGGAATGACTAAGGAAGGGAGGAGTCTGTCAACTGAGGGACGCTTTTTGGTAGGAAGACTGATGCTTCCCTAACTGGAAGCCCTCTCCAGTACTTGACTTCTGCTTATTTATCTCACTGCCAGAACTGTCTTAGCAGGCCACCTCTCATAGGAAGGTAGCTAGAACAAGGAGGGATTGAGGGTATGGGTTAGTCATCCATGCAGTGGGGTTATCTAGTTAGCTTACCAGGAGCATGTCAGCTGCTAGGATGTGACCCAGGAACCATCAGTACACCATGCAATGAGCTCGCTCCCATGAAATGCTCCTCTCTCAGCCCAGAAACAGCCCTGGCTGTCTCCTTATGCAGCAAGACATGAAACTGATTCTGACAGGAAGATTTGAACAATATGATGAAACCTGTCTTACTGCCTCAGATACTCTGAAATAAAGCTACCGTATATGCCATTTTAACTTACTAACTGTATAGATGTTTTCATTAAGATTATCTGATTTTTTTTAAACTAAAAGAATCTAGCAAAATATTTTTTTAAATTTTGAGTTGTAGATGGACACAATAACTTTATTTTGTTTATTTAGGTTTTTTTTATGTGGTGCTGGGGATTGAACCCAGTGCCTCAGGAATGCTAGGCAAGCGTTCTACCACTGAGCCACAACCCCAGCCCAAGAATCTAGCAAATGTTCTGTAAGACATTAACTCATCTCTTCTTAGGCATATTTATAATCTAATAACTTGATCTTCTTCTTAATTTTGCATAAAAAGAAAACCCCATAGTGCTTAGCATGACATTGCAGGCCATTTGCATTGTGGTCCTTGGCTTCTGTCCTGAGTTATTCCCCAGACCAGTTCCTTGAGCACTGGGCTTCACCATGTTGTGTGAATGCTTTCCCTGAATACCCTCTACTTATACAACCTCTGTTTCTTTCCTCTTGTTCTCCCTTCATCCACAAAACCTGGAGCTCTAGAATGGTGCAGTGGTAGGTCATTACTCTGGATAAAGAATCCAGTTTTGCTCTACTACCTTTCAAGGGAGCTAGCAAGTGTTGAAGCACATATGCAGATGAAATGTTAGAGGAAGTTGAACTGCATGTGTTAAACAGAGTGCTTTTTTTTATTAGCTACACATGGCATTACAATGATCTTGACAATTCATACATTTGAATCAATTTCTCATTTTTCTGATTGTACAGATTGCAGAATCACATTGGTCATACAGTCACCTATATACATACAGCAATCATAATGTCTATTCTATTCTGCTGCCCTTCCTATCCCCCCTTCCCCTCTCCTCCCCTCCCATCACTTCTCTCTATCCAATCTAATGTGACACACTTTTTTTTTTCTTTTTCTCCTCACAACATCATACATGTATTCTGTATAACGATGAGGGTCTCCTTCCATCTTCCGTGCATCTCCCCTTCTCCTTCCTTTTCCCTCCTACCTCTCTTTCCTATTTAGTGGTAATCTTCTTCTCATGCCCCTCCTCCCTATCCCATTTTGAGACACCCCCCTTATATCAGAGAAGACATTCGGCATTTGTTTTTTAGGGATTGGCTAACTTCACTTAGCATAATCTGCTGTAATGCTATCCATTTCCCTGCAAATGCCATGATCTTGTTATTTTTTAGTGCTGAGTAATATTCCATTGTGTATAAATGCCACATTTTTTAAATCCATTCATCTATTGAAGGGCATCTAGGTTGGTTCCACAGTCTAGCTATTGTGAATTGTGCTGCTATAAACATTGATGTGGCTGTGTCCCTGTATTATGCTCTTTTTAGGTCTTGTGGGTATAGTCTGAGAAGGGGAATAGCTAGGTCAAATGATGGTTCCATTCCCAGCTTTCCAAGGAATCTCATTCTGGAGGAAGTTATCTTCCCAAATAGTTCATGTGGTTTAGTAACATTTTATTTGAAGGAAAGTTTTTTCCTGTAATTAAAAAAAGCTTGTAAATGACTGACTTAAAATGTCTAGAAATTAGGTTAATGGGCATGGCATGGGGTGTGGATATTCTGACTTGCTTTGGAGGATTGGTTAGGGGGTTACATTGACTGTGGTTTATTAGTCCTGTGACTTTGAGAAAGGATACTTCTCTGAGCTTTAATTTCCTGATGAGTTAATTTATGGTAATAATGCATCTTTAAAGGTTGTTGTGAGTCTTAGAGTTAATATTAGCTCAGACCTGGGCTCTCTTCTTGCGCAGAACCAACAAATCTGACTCTTTTCAGATTATGTCAAATCATGGCGATCATTTGGGTGGATTGGGTCTGAATAGTCTAGTGGTAGCTGCTATTATTTACTGCTAATCAAGGGCAGAAGCATAAGTGTTATCTTTTCTTCCTGTGCACATTTTTATCATGTGCTATCTGTGCCTGGACACTTACTATGTCCACTGCGTTCCCAGACACTTTTTAGGGTCATAGGAGAATCTCAGAAGCAGTGTGTGCTTTAGAACTCTGTTCACAGAACTTCCAGGGAGCCACTCAATGTGAAATTTTGTCACAAAGTATACCCCTCTGTAATTAAGAGTTACAGAGGCTGTATAAAGTTGTTAGGCTGAACCAGTTCATTGGGGCCAAGGGAAGCTGGCAGAGGACACTGTGGAAGTTACTTTTTTTTCTTGAAAATCGTAGTTCCTTTTTATCATAGGATTTGTAAAATGAACCTGCTGGTTTCGACCATTTTTAGGCCATGGCATATAAAATCCTATCTTCAGTGTAACAGGTGTATTTCAGCAGATTCTTTATACCCTTGAGATAAAAGGTACAAAGAAAGGAGGTCAGAATAAGGACATGTCTTCTATTTCCCAGAATTCTCATTGTATCTCTCAGCAGATTTTTCTTGCAAATTCTCTGCCTCCATATGGGTTCAGCATCTTAGTTGCTCACCTGCAGTCTGTCTTGGATTTCTGCAGTTTACTTCTTGCTGGCAGGATATTAGAGGTTGATAAGAGGTGAACATAAACCTCAGTCTGTTTCATGGTAGTCTATCTAGATTGGATTTCAGGAGTTCATCAAATTTGTTACCACTCCCTAGTGGCCCATCCTAGTCACTTAAGTGGTTCATGTTACTTTTCCTTTTTTTTTTTTAAATTTTTAACAGAGCACTTATTGCTGCCTAGATGTTTGAATTTATTTTTTCTGCTGCTGCTTCATCCCACTTAAATTCTGTTGACATAGAGTCACGTTTTGTTTACTCCTAAGCCTTCAGAGCCAAAGATAGGATGTAACCCTGGAGGTTCCCAGCAGTACTGAGTGAATGTTTGCATGGCATTGTTCCAGATGCTTTATACTCAGCCTGTTGTTTTTCCTTCATTGTCACAGCCACCTTCCAGGTCAAGCTTCTTAGCTCCTTTTTAGCTCCCTAAGAATCTGTGTACATTTTGACCACTTTTCTGAAATCCTTCTCTGACTAGCAGCCTGTAAATGGAATCCTAACGCTTCTCCTTTCTTGCCTTCATGTATTTCATTTCGTTAGTATAAGTTCCCATCTTCCTACCTTCGTCTGTTAGAGTTAAAGTGATCTGGCACTGGCCACTTGGAGCCTCGTCCATCTCAGTGTCCCTTTGGTCATCAAAATCTAGATGGTTCTGACAGGTCAGTACTCTATCCATGCATGCATTTTGCACATGTTATTCCCTCTAGTTGAGAATGGATGGCTGACTCTTGTTTTCTTCTTTAGGTCTTGGGCCCCTTAGAGGGGCTTTCCTGGACACCTTTTTCTTAATCTAAATTATCTCACTCATTTGGGTATTACATTTTTTCCCTTT